CCCTACACACCACACAATCCACAAGAACTTGAAAGGTTTGAGGCTTGAAGGCTAGAACTTGCAAAGGCAGCTCGAACCAAAGCACTTTCGATTTCGGGCAATGGACGGGTGGTCATGAGCGGCTAAAGACACAGCTCCTTTGCGGTCACCACCTTAAGCCCCAAGCCGAGGTGACCAATGATCGGTGGGTGGCCAGCATCGCCCACTTTGCTGCCCGGCTGTGTGGGCAGACCAAGGTGGCTGCAAGCTTCATCAAACAGGCGATCAAAGTTTTGTACAGCCTTCGCGGCTCGGCAGTGCTCCAGAGAGCCACCTTTGAGCGGCTGTGGAGCTTTCAGCGGCAACTTGATGCCACTTCAATCCTGCAAACATTCGGTGACGAGTTCCAAGAAGAGGCATGCCTTGCATTTTCTGTTTTGCAATTGCACCATTCGTTGCATCAGATGGAAGAAATCAGAGACATGCGAACAAGAGCAGAGCAATGGCATCATCTTCTAGTCCAAGCGGATGAACACAAGCATGGGAACTTTGTGGAGGTGGTTCTGTGCTTTGTAGTGTCTCGTGTTTGTCTCGTGTCCGATGAATCTTCGATTGCCCCAGCTCCCGAGTTGGCTCGCCTTCAGGATGCGTGGGGGGGCCCTGGCCTAAAAGAAGAACGCTTGGGACCTGTGCGAATGAGTTGGATTTTGCTTTCTCCAGAGCTTTGGCGGCAGGTCATCGCAATTGCAAAGCGCCCAAATCAATCGAACATAGGGCAGATTCAGTCGGCACTGCGAGAGTCTTTGCAGTCATTGAGGGCTAGCATTCTTAGCGAAGAGCTTACGGTGCAGGACATGTTGACTCCAAAGTTAGCTGCGTGGGAAGGCCGCAACTTCATAGACTTGCTTGAGCAGGAGAAGATCCCAGAAGGACAAGTGCGACCGAAGCTTGAGCAGATGATCAACAAGCTGCATTTCATGCAGAAGTTTGAGCGTGCAGTCCTTTCTGATTTGCCCCAACTCCTTCCCCGTGCTAGACAGTTTGCGAAGCAACTGCATTTGCTCTTCCTGAAGGCCAGCACGGGCCAACCCTCCATCACTTCGACCAATGTGTTTGGACTTGAAGTGAGCTTAGCTCGAATCAATGACAGCGCATGGGTAGAAGAGTTCGAAGATGAGTGGCTGCAGTTGACAGTCGCAGATGTGCCGCAAGCCAGCTTTTCCTCTGTGCTCGCGGCCATCGAGACTCTTCATTTTGCGCGCTCACAACAGAACCCACCAATGCAATTGATGCTTCAGGAAGTGGAGCAAGACTTGAAAAGCACAGGCGAGGAACTCAACGTGTTGGACAACATCTTTTTTCTACACCGGGGAGTGACCAGACTTTTGAAGGATCTCTCCGGGTTGCGGGGTGAAGAGGCTGGGTTACCGTCAGAGATTCTGAGTTCGATCGAAAGGCATTGGGCAGGGGTTGCACCACAGGATGTGGACAGGTTTCTCCAAGGAATTCAATCCGTGACCTCAGTCTTCCAGGGCCAGGGTGGCTTGAATGAAGTTAGCCGCCGTTTGCAAGCAGTACTGGCAGCTCGACAGACAGTGGAGTTTGCGAACCATTGCACGCTGATCCTGAGACACCTATCAAGCAAGGTCAAAGTGCCCAACAAAGGGCTGACCGAAGGCTTTTCACTCGACACACGGAGCCACATGGCTTCCCTGAGAGAGATGCAGGAAGCCTTCAATGCAGCCAAGAACAAGAAGAGTGAAAGCAACCTGACCACCAAGGCTTTGGACAAGGTGGACCATGCTACCCAATGCCTGCGACAGATGTTTGATTTCTTGGGTGCCCGAGGTTCTGGCTTTGAATTGGTGCTGCGGCTTGTGACTGCTCTGGCTCAAGTTCCCGGCCTCTCGTTTTTGACGGTTTTGCTCAGCAGTGCTCAGAAAGGTGAACATTTGGCAATGAGGCTGGCGGAGCTTGTGGAAGGTGCTTTGACGCAGGAGACCTTGGCACATGTGGAGCAAGCTTCAGCCGTCTTTATGCCTCTTTGTGTTGCCTCCCTTGCAGCGATGAACATGCCAGTTGATGCCAACAAGTTCGGTGCCATGGTGCAGGGCGTGTGGTCAAAACGAATCCAGCGGGAGGCGCTTGGTGCGTGGTGCGAGGCTGCCATTGGAGACTTGATGCTCAACATGCTTCAAGAGGCGCACGCGAATCATAGAAGCAACTTGCGTGACTTCTCAGATAGCTTGAGATCAGCACTACGGCAGGGCCAGGTCCTACAGCAAAAGCTGGAGGAGAATTCCGACGATGCCACAGCTGTCAGCAATACAGTTCATGGAATGGTGAGCGCAGGACACTTGGAGCTGACTCCCAGCGCGGATGGAACACACTTCGAGGTTGTAGGTGTTTTTGAGTTCAGCAAGGATCCTGTTTCAAGAGATGTCCAGCAACTCACCGAGTGCTCCGACAAAGCAAGCTTGGCCGTGCCAAAAGGCACTGCCGATGCCGACAATCCCACCGCCTTGACTCAAGAGAAAGTGCAGATCTTCACAGGATGCGTTGAGGGCATTCTTGGTTTGCGGCAGGAGCTGACGGAACTTCTTCAGATTGGACACCCTTATTTGGAAGATGCCGGACAATTGCGATTTCCACGTCAGGGAGAGGGCTTGTCAGCTTCAACATTGCAAGACCTCAAGGACACGTTGCGATGGGCCCAAGGTGCCATGCAGCAATGGTGCAATGCCCTGGATCAAGCCCGTGCCAGACATGCAATCATGAGCGCCATCCCTGCCAGGAACATCACAAAGCTTGCCCGTGCAGTCTTGCAAAATGAGACTCGTGCAGTGGCCCCACTAATGTCCCTTCATTTCCAGACCGGGACCAGCTTTCACAAAGATCAAGAGTTGGAGTATGCCCTAGAGAAGTGCAAATTTCTTGAGCCCAGAGAACGGGCACATGAACGATTTATGGATAAGCTTGTGGAAGTATTGACGGCACAGGTCATTCCAGAGAACACGATGACAAGATTCTTGCCCTTGCATGAGGTTGCTCGAAACTATCCAAAGAAGCGCGCTTGTGATGATACAACCACAAGAAGCAGGATGGAGCGCCGGCAGAACCCCAAATTCTACCCGAAGCGGGTTCTATTGATTCAGGAAGAATTGTCCCACGAATCTGGCAATTTGGCCTTGCAAAGCACAGCCACCACCACAGTACTGTCGCTGCTGTTGCCTTTAGGAATCGGACCCAGCGCCGAAAATCTCTTGCTGTGTGACTCCAGCACCACCAAGGATGACATCCTGAGGTTTCTGCACCGAGTTACTCATGCTACCCGCCTTGCTATGGACACTTCTCGCCAATCCCAGGTTCTCGGCGTTTGCGTTCATGTGGATTGCTTACAGCCGGATGTACTGCAGGAGCTCCTGTGCAGGGTGGATGCCATGCAAGCGGCGGTCGGCAGGCGCAAGGAAGCCGACAGCACCGCTGAGATTGAAGTGCGCCTGGCTTTCACACTGACAGCGCGGGCCTCAAAGATGCTTATCGAAACCTTGGAGAAGGACTTATGCAAGCAGCAGCAGATCAATGTCTTGAAGCTTTCTAGCATAAAGGCCTTCTTGAAAGAGGCGGGAGAGGAGAGAAAGGCTGAAGGTCGAACAGCTTTGGGATGGCATCAAGTTGTGACCTCGGAGTATGCGGGAGATGGCAAGACGCATGCCATTCGTAGATCTGAGAAATGGGACCCAGACTCTCATGTCTCAGTTATTTGGGGCGGTGCCCAGACACGTGGGCAAGCAGCAAGAGCCTTAAGGAAGGCCGAGGGTGCTGGCTCCGTCCATTTAGAGTTACATGGATTTGAAGAAGGTGGTGGGGTAGATGCAGACATGCTGCTGATGGAGCTGCTTCTCTTCCGCTGTGTCTTTGATCCCGAGAGGTCTGAGTGGACACGCTTGGCTGTGGAAACGCCACTCTTCGTGGAAGTCGCCAATTCCATCAAGATCAAGCAAGGGCAGCGTCCTGCTCAGCTCATGTTGCTCTCAGCTCCCATTCTAGAAGGTGTCCCCGGCCAGAATGAGATCCATGCAGACTCTCCATTCTTGTTTGACGGCAACGATCTTCACCCAGAAGTGGCGTCTTCTATTGCGCAAGACTTCGCTCTGGCTGGTGCAGCCTTGTTCCTGAACGATGATAGACCTCACCTGGTCGGATGTGAAGATGATGCCGTCTTCAAATTGGTGGCAAGCTCACAGGGGCAAGGCGGGGGGCCTTGATATTTCCCCAAACCAGCAGGCCTTTTCAGTTCGCAAAGGTAGCTTCAGGTCACGCCTGAGTTCACACTTTGCTCTAGAACAAATCCTCCCCCGGTGGTGGCTTGCTGGTCTGCTGGTGTGCTTGTCATTTACTGCTTGTCGTTCGGCGAGCATGCACTGAAACTAGCTAGTTTTTCGTCCGCGACTACATACCTACATACCTTCCATCTCTCCACCGCTCAAGTTTTACAGTAATTTGCTTGGTAGTTGCTGTGCATTAGAGGCAAGAAAATCCTTCACAGTCCAACTCACAGCTTAGAATCAAACATGTTCAGAACACTTTCAAAGCTTTCACCCATTGATTGAAGCAGCATAAAGCAGTGGAGTAGTTTTGTTAATTTGTTCTGTTCCCGCTGCAGAATTGGTGCTTGCGGGAGATCATGCCAACTTACTGCAGCGATACTCAGTTGACGTGGATGAAGCGGCTAAGCTGGCTTTGCAAGAAGCCTGGCTCCATGGTGTCGGGGCAAAAGCAGACAGGGATCCTCCAGTGCCATCGAAAGCTACCATAATGTCCTTCCTGCGGTTTTTGGCGCACTGGACCAGGAACTGGGCATTACACCTGCACCATTATGAGCAGGCTTTCCATGGTGAGCGGGGAGTCAACATCCCTGGCACATTCTTGCAGGTGTTGAAGGAAATGATCCCCATGGCGGCAGCGATGTGTTTGCGTTCCTCAGCAGCGGAAGCGCAAATGGAGCAGAGAGAGAGGACCGTCGCTGAGAATGGTGAAGCAGCGTCCTTGTCCGAGGCTATGGCTTGCCGAGTGCTTGATCCTCGCACCAGCGCTTCGCGTGTTTGGGCCTTCAACACGGGTGGTTCGCTGCGCTTCATTGGCAACAGAACGGAGTTGCCGAGTGCTTTACAGCATTTGTGGGACATTGTCCGCAGATATACGCGTGAGCCAATTGTGCCTCCACCCATCAACTTAGGCAATGCAGAACAACTTGAACTGCGAGAACTGTTGCTTGATGTGATGAGAGGCCACAATCTTACTGACAAAGAAGCTCATCTTGTGTCAGGATTCTGGTTTGTGTCCATCCCGCCCAAACTAGTAACTATAGATATTGCATACCAAGCCTCTAGCGTAGGTTTCCCAATTCAGCCCAAGGTTTCCGAGCAAAGGTGTCAAGAAAGAGAGAGAAAGAGAGGGAGGGAGGGAGGGAGTGAGTGAGCAAGTGAGTGAATGAGCGAGAGAGAGAGAGAGAGAGAGCAGAGAGTTTCAAAGTGCGCAGATGCGCAGTGTTCCAAGGAGCTATGCAGATATATACTGTATTCCAAATTGCTCCAAGTAGAAGTAGCAAGGTCTCAAACAACCAAGGGCATTTGGAGCTGTTTGCTGCAAGCAAGGGATGTAATGACATAATGATACACAATGATTTTGGTGACTTTTGCATTGTCTTTTACCTTCTCTGTCGTTTGTTGTTGTTTTTATAGCTTTATGCATTTGGCAAAGCCAGTGTTTCTCCTAACGCTTTCAACACTTTTGCTACATCACTTTTTTTCTCCGTTTTACTCGCTTAAATAGAGCTGCTTTTTGGAGAGTTAGGTAGGGTACCTGAAGACACAATGCTTGCACTTCTTCGACACAGCAAAAGATTCCTTGGCACTCTTTCGTTGCACATGCCAAGGAGTTGGAAGATGCTTTTCGTGGCTTCGTGCTCACACAAGACAATATGATTAAGCTGGTTGATGTAGCTGAGCGGCTTCGTGCTCACCTGCCTTGCATCCTCATGGGTGAAGCTGGTTGTGGAAAAACAGCCGCCAGGCTGCATTTGATGCTGGTTCTAGGCAGGTGATAATGTTATGTGGACACGAAATGTTCTGTACCAGATGCCTTCAACAGGCACTTGCAATTGCATGATCCAACAGTTTGCTTGTAGCTGCCAGCTTTTGTCAGTGTTGATTCTAAGAGGGTGAAGTGAGCGCCGCAACATTTTTTTGCGGGCTTTGTATTCTTGGAGTTGGACTCGGAACTGAAGCCAGAGGTACTGCTGCGGCTCACCACCCGCTTGTTGGGTGCTGGTGAGCTGGATGAGCAGCAAGTGCACGCTGGCACCACGGAAGCTGACATTTTGGAAGCGCTCAGCAGAGCGGAGGAGCTTGCTCGGAAGAAGGAGGAATCAAAGAAGGATGGTGGAACTGAGCATATGGTGGTCCAATTCTGGGATGAATTGAATACGTGCCCGCACCAGCCGCTTTTCAAGCAAATCCTGGTCGACCGCGTCAACCCGAGCACCAACCAGCCCATTCACAAGGGCTTGCGATTCGTCGCCGCTTGTAATCCTTGGCGCCGTGCAAGCCAAGGTAGCGTGGTGTGCGCGGGGTTTGAAAGCCCAGTCGCCCAAGATGATCGCCTGGCTGGCCTTGCATATCGAGTGCATCCCTTGCCAGAAAGCTTGTTCACACACCTATCCTCGTTTGGCCAGCTGGACCTTGACACTGAGCAGCAGTACGTCAAAGAGATGGCATCTCAACACCCACAGCTCCTAAATCCTGACGACCAATGGCTTATACCAGATCCATTGACCAAATCAATGTGCGATCATGCGGCTCGATATGTATGCATAATCCACAAGTTCTTCCGGGATTTTGGCTCTTGCGTCTCGTTGCGGGACCCAAATCGTTTGTTGAAGCTTTGGGGGTTTATTCGCTGGGAATTGAAACAGAGAGAGAAGCTGAATATGCCTAAGGGCTCCCTGACCCGTCACTTGTCATCAGATGCTTCCAAAGGAGAAGTGAAGTCCTTGGTGTTGGCGATCCATTTGGCCTACGAAATCAGACTTCCTGATCTGGAGAAGCGGAACGAGTTGCTGGCAACTCTTTTTGATGGATCCAACTTGGGTTCCCTCTTCCAGAAGTACTTCCCAGAGACTTGCAGCGATGAGCTTGAGCGTATCGAGACCTGGAGGGGAATAGTAGAGCAAGAGCAGGACTACTGGTTGGAGGCCATTGATGTGGCGGACAATATTGCAAAAATTCGTGCATTGAGAGAGAACATTTATGCTACATTGATCTGCTCCATGACCCGCACGCCCATTTTCATCCTAGGGAAGCCTGGTTGCTCAAAGTCCTTGACGGTGTCTCTTTTGATCAGTGCCTTGGCCGACCCCTACAAAGACCAGCTGCTGCACTTGGCGAGCTTCAGTGTCCAGCCATACCAGGGCAGTCGCCAGTCAACTTCGAGTTCCTTGCTCGCGGTGTTTGAGCGAGCACTGGCCAGACAGAAGAAGCTCCGGACTCTGAATCGAAGAACACGGCCATTGGCCTTGGTTTTGCTGGATGAAGTTGGACTAGCGGAGCAGAGCCCTCACAATCCGCTCAAGGTGCTCCACGCACGCTTGGAGCCACGACGGGCTCAAGATGCAGTATCGGTGATTGCCATCAGCAATTGGGAGCTTGATCGAAGCAAGTTGAGTCGTGGTTTGTTGTTGGCATGCCCACCACCATCAGAATCAGACTTGAGCCAAACAGCTTTGGCGATCATTCGGGCCTACTTGGCGCACGAAAGCCAGATCCGGGGCCAATTGGAAGCCAGTTTGGGCCATATGGCAACTGCTTTCATGGAGATTCTAAAGAACCAGGAGCCTCAAGACTTTCACGGCCTCCGTGATTGGTATGGCATGTGCTCGTTTGCAGCACGCCTGTTGCTGGCTGCAGATGTGGAGATGGGTTTCGGCTCCGAGGAGGTGAAGCATGGAGCTTTGATGCATGCGGTCTCCCACGCTTTGCGCAAGGAAGCTGTACAACTGGTCAAGCTGTGCAGGGAGAGGGAATTGCAGTTCGTTCCTGCCGATTGGGCTTTGAAGATGGCCGTCCTCAACAATGTGAGCGGCAACCACTCTTCAGGTGCGCTTCACAAGATGCTTCACAGCCTCAGCCAGGAAGAGAAGCAGGACTCCTACCAGTCGATATCAGCTCTTGAGCAAATCTACCCAGAGGTACTCCAAGTGTCGAATCGTTTGGATAGTCTGCTTGGCGATGTGGATGGTCGCCATATCATGGTGATCACTGATTCTCCTGGGCCTGTGATTGCTTGGATTCAGCATCGTGCTCGTCAAATAGCGAATTGGAATCCTGAGAGCTTGGTCGGAAGCCCGCTCGAGCAAGATCAGGCGAGCACTGACATGTATGCTCAGTCTATGATCCAAGCTGCAATCGTCAGTATGGCTCAGGAAAGGCGGCTTCTCGTACTTCAAAACTTGGATATCATCTACGCAGCCTTGTACGATGTCTTCAACTCCAACTACAGCCGTGCCAGTGGCCCCAACAGTCAACGGTATTGCCGAATTGCTCGGGAAGGCTTCTGCAATCCACGGTGTGCAGTGGCTGATCAATTCAAGGCAGTACTTGTGGTCACGAGGGAGCGTGCAGCTCGCTACGAGCCTGCGTTGCTGAACCGCTTTGCCAAGCTAGAGGCTGGTCAAGTTGTGACAAGATGAAACCACAGAGAGAAACGTGCGGAGGTGCTGTGAGTCATCAGCCATCACACAGCTAACACCGGCCAAGAAGCTTGCCTATGTATGTCCCAGTAGCGCTTATAATATAGCATCTTATAGCATTACAGTAAATAATGGAAGGGAATCAGAACTGGCATGATTTTTTGGAGGCAGCAGAAGCACTTGAGGAAAAAATCACAAGAAGGTATACATTTGCAACATCTCCATGCATTGCAACGCATTTGTCGCCGTATGTTCAATATATTTGAATATTTTTTTTCACAGCTTGTACTTGTACATAAGACCATATACGCACGTGCTTTGGCTCAAGAAAAGGGGTGTACGTTTGAGGCTGTCACCTTTGAAATAGGTTATCAGCCGTAGGACTCTTTTCTTGCCCTTTGTTGCTGTTTGTTCCTCGTGTGCCTACGCCATGGCAGGCTTTGGGACCCCGGCCATTATCGATTTGTCTTCGGACCGGATCAAATGTCCACACGAGAGGAAACGCCTGAGTATGCTAGCCCGGATGCACTTGTTCTGGTTGGGGCTGGTCTTTTGGACACGCCATTATGGCCTGACATTGCCCTGTACGCCCCACCTGATGCAAGTGCAAGCGGGAACGCTGTGCCGGTCAACAACCATAATCAGATGAACGTTTTGAACTAGCACCTGCATGTTCACCAAGCCCCAACGACCGATGCCAGGCTGATTGAGGCAGTTGCCGAAGAAAGACATCGGCGTGCCATAGATCTTCCAAGTGAACAACTCCAACAGCGTGACAAACTGAAAGCGCAGGGTCTTAGAGTCTTTTAAGTTCATGAATGAGGCTGAACAGATGTTTCATGAGAATGCGCAGAATGCGGTCGTTAAGCAATAAGCTAGCTCTTTTGTTGAATCAACACATACGGGATATGAGGCTTATGCCGAGGCTTCCGCGTCCGAACTCAGGTCCATGAAGCAGCAGTATGAGAGTCAAATATTGTCAAATGCTAGACGCACGAATCCGAAGCGATCATGCCATTGAAAAGTGCATGGCAACCATCGAATCGTTGAACAACCATGTTGAGCATCAGAATCGTCAGACAGAAAGCCTTCGTTTGGAATTGAGGCAGTCTTTGAAATCGCACAGCGACCTTCAGAGCCAGCTGTCTGCTCTTGAGTATATAACAAGTTCTCAAATTTCAAGTGTAACCTTAGAAATGATTAGATGTTGATGTGCTATTGTTTGCATCTATTTATAGTAAGCAGTATTGAAAAAATGAAATGTATTAAAAAAGATAGAATTGAATAGTAAAAGGCTTCAATATTTTTCAATATGATTATTGTTCATATTTACTGATTTCAATTGTTAGAACCTAATTATGATATTTTTAATTGAAAATTGGCTACAGTGCCTAGGTTCAGAAATCTAGGCACTGAGTCACACGGTCTAGATTCAGATTTTGAATCTGTGCACATAGTCACAATCTATCAGTTGAAATGATATTCTACACACAGAATCAAGTTTTTAGATTTAGTAAATACAATGTGGAAAGCCACAACTGGCTAGATTTCAATTAGGAAAAATGAGTTTGAAGAAACATATATACTGTAACAAACCGTGCAATAGCAATCAAAATACAGAACAATTTGCAATTGCATAGTCACTCAGACTTGCAGCCATTACAGCTGATGATTTGCAGCAACCGCAACTAGCCCCTTGGGCTTACACAGTATCAAGAAACTAGCGCTTGCAAGTTGATCGGTCAACAAACAACTTGCAATCACTTAGTCAGTTAGCCGTTCTGGCTTGTAAATAGCCAACTAGTCAATCAGGCTTGCGTTTCAATAGCCACGTGGGCTTACAATGTGTACAGCCACAGTACAGTGGCTTGGAATATACTAGCCGCCGTTGAGGCTTGTAAACTTTTTTTGACTACAAGCTACAGTGCATATCCGTCAAGGCTTGCCACTAGCCATGTAGGCTTCATGGGTGATCAATGTATCTAGCAATTCAATGAAGGCCGCAATGGGCATGGCTGACGCCACCAATTGAGGCTTGCAATTGTTTAGCCATGAAGGCTTGACAATAGCCATGTCCACTTGCAAACTCAAACAAAAATGGTGGAAAGGAAGTAACAAACAGTAAGGATTCCAAAGGTACACACTACGAACTTCATACATGTGAAAAACATGGCCAAGGAACCAGCTTTCCCACGCAACGGGAGGAAGACAACACTTCACATGAACACAATTCAACTTTTCCACTCCAGACCTAGATTCCAGCGTTCTTCTCCATCAGAGAAAAGCAATGTAGTGCCAAGCCTCTCATCCTTGATGTCAATGATCAGGGGGTTGGCCATTGCTCCACGCAGTTCACTTCAGCTTCCATTCAGTTCACTACACAGTTCAGTCTCACTCTTTGGAGCCACAATTGCGGCGCCCGCGTTTATTCATAAGAAGAAACCATTTTAAATAATTGCGCCGAGATACAAAAAGTGTAGACACTTGGGCTTGCAAGGGGCAAAGCCATGATGGCTTGCAATGTGAAAAGGTAGCCACTAGGGCTTGCAAGACCAAAGCCATATAGGCTTGCATTGCAACATGAAAGCTTGTAACATGAAGCCATGAAGAGCTTATGCAACAAAGCCATTTTAAGGCTTGCAGAAGCAAGCTGTGCATACAGCCTGCATATGGAAGCCAAGAAAGGCTGGCAATACAAAGCAATTGAAAGATTGCAACAAAAGCTTTGCAAAGAAAGCGCAATGAGGCAAAGACCATTGAAGTCTGTGGTGTTGGGTGGGAATCGAAGGGCTGGATCCAAACGATAGTGTCCACGCATTGGATGTGCTGTTTGAGCGGGGGCCACCTGGGATGTAATGATGTAATGAAGAAGTCGCTGGCCTCGCGTGAGGTGGTCCTGCAAGGGGCCGAGTCGGTGGAGGATGTATGGAGGAGGGGATTCTGGTCAGGTATTGGATCCTGCGGAATGGGATGTTGGAGCATGGCGTCGACCAGCCATGAGTCCCAGCGTCTCATGAACAAGAGTTCTGGGTTGCGCGTGGCTGATGGTGCACGCGGCTGCGGTGGCCTGAAGGGCAATGAGAAAGATTGAAATCCGCGGAGACGCGGGATGGTGCAATCCTTCGCGAACCAGCGGCGCCGCTGAACGCTCGGAATTGCCGTTGGCGGCCACGCTGTAGGTAGAAATCAGGAAGGAAAGCGGGGCGCACCTCACTGAAGAGGCTGCGGGAAAGAGTGGCAGTCGGTGGGAGAATGCAATGCGCAACGAAATCGCAAACAAACTCAATCAAGACAAAGCCTGGCTATGTCAGAGTGCAGTCAGAAGATAAAAAGTAAGGATGGTTGCCGTGGGCGGTTGGTGCCCTGGGGGAACAGTATGTAGAGGTGTTGGATGACATCGGCTGCCTGGTGAAGGGTGGCGCTCAATTGTGAAAGTAGAACTGAAGCTTGCTGCAAAGTGTGAGCCATGCGCTGGACACAGGTAGCGCTGAAAGGGCAGCAGCAGGGGCGGCAGGCGCGGAATGGTGCTTTGTAGGGGCATGCTGAAGTAGACAAATATGATGCGCGCAGTGAATTACGAGCATGCAGGTGAATTATATATGTGCATCGAGCCTCAGTGCCAAATCAACATTGCAAAAACAAGGTCCTGCAAGCTTGAGACAGACGCCAAAAAAAGGAGTTCAAAAACAAACACTTGAGATCCTTGCTTTGTTGTAAGAAGTTAAGTTAGTTAAGATCAGTTATGTAATTATTAGATTGAGTTGCCAACTCTAGCTAACTAGTTATACTAAAAATGGTTTCTCCAAAATCCAATATGGCTTTAAGTTTTTCAGAGAATCAAAATGATTTTGGTACAAAGAATTTTGATAAACTAATGTGCATTTTCCAAAAGAAAAGAAACATAATTAAACAATACGTTCACAAACACAAATTTCTGTCGTGGTGCATTGACATGTGCAAACATTTCTTGGTGGATGGAAGAAGCCATCATGGCCTTTGATGAGCCATCATGGCCTCTGATGAGCCACCATGGCCTTTGATGAGCCACCATGGCCTTTGGTAGTTTGACTGCAGAAGACAGCTGCACAGACACATTTGTTTTTTCCTGCTATCTTCGACTGTAGCACTGGTATGGCAACAGCACAGTCACTTGGTCTTTGCTTTTGCTGTATGGCACTGGGAACAAAATATTGCTCAATGGAATGAGCCCATTGGAGGCTGTCACCTTGCATTTGGCATGGTATTGGTCCATTGTCTGTATGGACCACAATTGGACCAAATTGGTTTGCAAGCATAATACCTGGAAATGCTTGATGGCAAGTGCAACTTTCCACTGGTCATTGCCTTCTGAAAAATGATGACATCTCCACCGGAAATTTGGGAACCTCTGGCCAAAATGGCCACAGTCGAACTTTGTGCTTGAAGGCAAGGTTGGCGCAAAAAAGGTGCCATGGCCACTTGGTCCTGTTGGGTGGCAAGCTTTGGTTTCCACATGTGGCAAACTTTGGGAAACTGATCTGGCTGCTGTAAAGTGCAAGTTTCAGTGGAAAGCACTTGCTGGAGGAGGTGCTTGTCATAACTGGTGGTTCTCGTCAATTTGGTTGCCAAAGCTGAGATGCTTTTGTGTTTCCTTTCAGCTGTGAAGCAGCTTGGAAGAGGGGAAAATCTGGACAATGCATCTGGTAGGTGCAACTGCCAATGCCATTTCTTGATCATGGTTTCTTCTGGCCAAGCAGCCAAAAATGCTGCATTGGCTTTTCCACAGCACTCAACAAGGATTGCGTTGTGGTGGCTTTCCATTGCACACCACCATGGCATTGGTCTATGACTTCTGACATGGAAAAAGAAATAACTGCTGAGGCTGGATGATGGTGCACATGCAATGCCTCACCATGGGGGAAATGCATAAACATTCTGCTGCTGTGCGACTGAATTTCCTGGCATTCTTGGATTTTTCCATTTTCTTCTTCTCAAAC